TTCTATAATTATATCATTATAGCCATGTTAATCTTACATTTGTAGTATTAGGCATATTATGTACTTCTTGAGGTTTAATGTATTACATATATGCTCAGATTAAAGCATATGTGCTCAAGGTCTTAACACAGAATCAAAAATTTATCAAATTCAGCCAAATAATTATCAGCCAATTTTTATTATTTGATACAGAATTTATAATTGTAATATATATACCTGGGTAATCTGAGTAATCCAGATATACCCGAATAATTAAGTTGCTTAACCACAGTTAATCTGAGTAAGGTTTTTTTAAATGAGTCCAACACCTAGTTATCAGGTGTCATTTTCTTAAACAGATATATTTTTTTTTTTCTTTTTGTTTCTAGGGTTTTTTTAAGATAAAAAGTTTGTATATCAGGTTGTGCTTAGGATGCAATGATCACTGTCTAAAATGTAAAAAGCATCAGTTTGAAATAAAGGTTTGAATGCTAATAATATATCTGATAAGATCCAGAAATCATCAATTTGGCTGACAGTAGTTGGGCCATGTTATGTTGGTGTTTGAATGTTATGGAAGGCTAATAAACTTGTTAGGTTGGCAGTATTTAAATTTGTGAATATCGAAAAGTGCTTGTTTCTAAATTAATTGGCATTAAAATTATCCAGTATAATTAGATGCCAGTTTCTAGCCCTAGCTTCTGTAATCCAGTTAAGTAATTAAGATTGGGTTTTTTTTAGAAGGAAAAGATGATTTGAATAAAGATAAGTTGAAATGATACAAGATTTGTTGTCATTAGAAAAAAAGAAATTAAGACATATAGCTGTTCTTTAAAAGATATTAATTTTGTGAATATATGATTGTAGTTGATTGCAAACTATTAAGGCAGTTTCCAAACTAGCTTCTTGTTGATTTGGTTTGTATGATACAAAGTTTAAAATAAAGATTTTATATAAAAGGTTAGTTAATAACAATATTATTAAATCTTTTAGTTTGGTTTCTATAAGAGAGATTATATGTAAATTTGATTCAACAGTGTTTGATGCAGGTTTGCATTTTTAATATTTTATTGATGCCTCTGAAGTTGTGAGTGGTAATGTTAATTTTTTTGTGTATATTAAAGTCATGAAGATTTGATTCGTTCATGTTTTCTACAGATTGTAAAGTATTTATATTAGGATGTATGCTTATAAGTCTTCTGTCATAAGGTCTTTCTCTATTGCAGATGTTTGTGTCTTTGGTATTGTATTAGTTGAGTTTTTGTTTTCAAAGATGTTGAACAATAGTTCAGGTAGATTTATGAGATCAAATATGTACTCTAGCATGATATGATAAGAAAAGTTTTGTCAAAAGTTTCCAAAACTAGAAGGATATTGTGATGTTTTTTAATAAGTATATTTATGTTGATTTTTTTTTTAACTAGTGCAAGTTGCAGTTTTTTGATTGTAGAAGGTAATTTATCTGGAATGTTGCTAGATTCAGGTTGTTTTTTTTGGATGTTTATCCAAGATTGGAGTATTGTATGAAAGTAGTAGTGTTCATGTAATGCTTTGGCTGCAATGCTTAGCTCTTTGGGAGTTGAGATTGGTAAGGTTAAGTTTACTGCTGTAACTAATTTGGCATTTTCTAGTAGATCTAAAAGTTAAGTATAGTTGAAATCACAATAAGTTTTTGGTAATAGTATTGGAATGCTGTATATAGGTGGAATTTTTTTCAAGAATAAGTTAACTTCTTCTGCAGTTTGTAGAGAAAAAATAAGATTTGTTATTCTTAAGTTTGTAGGTTTTGAGGCAGTTGTCTGCATGAGATAATGTAGTCATTTGGTAGTCTTGTAAATGAGTAAACCATTTATACAAGTCTAACATGTTCTTTGAAGTCTTCTTGGTTCTTAGGTAAGAAAGAAAATTTTTCTTTTAGTCTGGGAATTAAGTCTTGTAGAGTAAAAGGTAGTAGGCTCTTTGGTGCTAATAACTCAAAGTAGCTGGAAGGAATTTGTCAAAAGATGTAAAATTTCTGCAAGATTTCTTTGTATTGAGCCAGGTTTTGCAAATCTGCTTTGCTTATAATAGAAAATATGTTGTGTACTTCATTATTTAGGAGTTCATATGAGTCTGATAGAGGTTCCCAATTATCTGCAATATATGTTTCAAGTATTTTGTCAAATGAAAACATTAATCATAAAGTCTTGGCTACAGGTGCAATAATTTGATGATTTGTGCTAGTTAAACTGAAAGGAATCATTTTTATTAAATAACTAGAAATTGAAGTAGGTTCTGAAGATAGTAGTATTAGTATCTCATTAATAAGGCTTGAAACCAATTTTCTGATTGTTTCAAAATTTAGTTGCTATAAGATTTTTGCAAATCCTGTTATGTAAAAGATATATCTTGTAATCTTCCATGTGTCCATTGAGTTGAAGTCTAGATTAGACAAGTAATCTGTTACTATTTTGATTTATAGTAGTTTGAAGATTTGGTTTTGATTTTTCTTGTTTGTTGCTAGTATGTTGTATTGTTTTTTATAGATATCTAAAGCTTCTGTAAACAAATTATTAAATTCTGTTTAATGTTGTAGTCTAATTGCAATAATTCTCATAAAGCTTCTAAAAAATGCTGTATCTCTATGAAACAATTTTGCTGCGATTGCTTTTAAAATATAATTTGTTATTGGTTTAATAATAAGTTTATATCTAACTAATTCCTTGATTTCATCATAAGAGGTTAGTGCAACTTTGATTCTTGGCCAAGTTTAGGTTGTCATATCAAACATCTCTAGTCTATCTTGTCTAATTTCTTTTAAAGCTAACTGTGCATACTTGCATTATTCTTTTTTTTTGTTACTGTTGAAGCTGTTTGAAGTTTTTTTATTTCTTTTTAGAAGACTTTTAGTAACTGCCTGGCTATATGATATTTTTTTTTATGTTTGTTTCTCTACTATTGTATCTGTTAAATTGTTTCTTCTTTTCTGTTATCTATGTTTGCTATGTCTTGGTCTACTTCCATATATGGTATTTGTTTGTTTGTATCATTATTCACATATGTACTAAGTTTGGGGGCTAGTTCTAACTGAATTAGTTTGTTTACATTTATATTTTGTTCTTGTGTGGGAAGATTTGTGTTAGTTGTGATGGGAGCTTGGATCAGGTTCTGGCAATTTTGTGAATCTGTAGGAATATTTTTTTCTATTAGTCAGTGTAAGTCTGAAATTAGATTTGTTGTTGTTTTCATCTTTACTGATAATGTCATGTTTTGAGAATTCAAGGTTAAGCTAGAATTTCTTTTTTTTTTGGAATTTTCTTCTATTGCATTTTTTTTAGTATTTGTTTGAACTGAAATAGTAGTGTTATAGTTAGTTTTTCACTTTTTTTCTTTACTTTGTTTGCCCATTGTATCACTGCTATCAGTATATATGTAAGCAGATCATGTTTTTTTCTTTGGGTTTCAGCTATGTGTGTTTTGTTATTATTTTTCTTATTGTTGTCATTGTTTAGTTTAGTTGCTGATGTAGTTGACAACAAGGTTGTAAAGAAGATAGGAGTGCAAAAGGAACTTTCTCTACTTCTTTTAATCTTTGATAGCTTTGTTGTTGTTATTTGTTGCAAGTTATTCTTATTTATTTAGTTATATATTTTAAGTATATCTAGTTGCAATTTGATATTTGTTTATTATGTAAAAAATGATTTTTTTAGTTATTATTTAATATATTTGTTAATTATTAATTTTTGAATTGTTTTTTTTTTCTTTGTTATTTGATAATAAGTAGGTCATTATAATTATAATTTCAAAAGTCTCTTTCTTGTTCACCTTTGATTAAGAAAAGAAAATAAAAACAACAATTATAAAGTCACTAAACACAAAACAAAACTTAACAAATAAGTCTACTTCAAGAGCCAAAGCCCTTGTACCAAAGAAAAGAAAACTCCCTCTAAGAGTTGAACCTTTATTGACAAAAAAAATTTATAAAATGCAAAAACTTTATGTTGAAAAAGAAGAAGACAACAACTTCTAGGCAGAAAAGTCTGACAATGTTTTTCCTAAATATGCTTTTGCAACACAAGAAGAAACAGTAGCTGCAACTAAAAAACTAGTATTAGTTATAGTAATCCAAAACAAGAAAAACTGGTTAGAGAATATTATTCAAAGAAATAACAACTTCCAAGCTTTAGAAAACATGTCAAATCACAGAAACAAAACAAATAATGAAAATGTAAATAATGACAAAATTAGTCATATAACAACTACTGAAAGAGAAACAAGTTATGCTATGGAAGAACAGCACAGACACAGATCTACTTTAAGCTATGCATCAGCTGCCAAACAGGGCACAAACATGTCAGCAAAATTAAAAAGAAAAAAATCAATCTTTGTGGCCTTTTTTTCTAGAAACCAAATTAAATCAAAAAATAACAACATACTAATTATTGAAATTCCAGATTTTTATTACTTCCTTAATGAAATTATAGCCTCTTTATATAAAGGTCTAGGAAGAGATATTGTTGCAGCCAAACAACACTTTAAAAAAGACTTAAGATCTCATTTAAAAATTGTCTTCCTGAACTAAAATCGATTAACACACTATGCTATTAATGGCATTAAAATTTTTAATGAAACATACTATGGCTATATCTTAACAGATGCATATAAATCCTTCTTACCAATTAAAGTAAAAAATGTACCCATTAGGAACCAAAGAATGCATCTCTAGCTTGGTAAAGGAAGCCTTTGAAAATTTTAAGAAAATTGTCTTAATTAAACCTCTACTTATCGAAGGCACTCCTTATATGACAGATCAATAGATCATCATTTTTGATAATACTGAAGATGCAAAGTTAGAACAAAAAATCTCTTGATTTACATTTATAGATGATAATAGAGTGACTACCGAGTGGAAGAAGACACCAAAAGTCTGTTATTTCTGTAACCAAACAGGACACATTAAAAAAGACTGTGTACAATTTCAAGAAGTAAAAAACCTAAGACTGCACTATTAAGAATTCAAAAGAAAAAGTGCACAAAACAGAATGTCTATAAAAAACCCAACAGAGGATAATCCATATATGAAAAAAATAGAAACCCTCTTAACACAAGAAGAAACCCAAGACATGAACATGAATGAAACTTGTTTACAAAAACAAGAAACAGAAGAAATCATATCAGAGTATGATATAGATGGCAAAACAAATATTGTTTGTATAGAAATTTCTATCAAAAATAACCTTAACACAACACAAGAACTAGTAATTAATAATACAAATTTAGAAAGTGCCCAATCAAATAAGCAAGAAAAAGTAGATGATCCTACTTTCACATTAGTTGTATGTAAAAAAAGTAAACATAAGAATTCAAAACCTTACAAAGCAACCAACAAAGAAAATTACTAGGATAACCCAAAACAAAGAGCTTGTTAGAGCTCTAAAACTAAATAATCTTTTTATGAGCTATTACTTAATTAAAATTACTATGTTAAATATTAAAAGCTTAAATAATTTAAACAAACAAACTAAAACATTAATACTTTTAAAATCTTATAAACTAGACATTATTTTTTTACAAGAAACAAATATTTTTAATACTGCCACCCAACAATATTTAAAAGACCAATAGTCTTTTAACTCAATCTGGATAGGCAAAACAACAATCTTAGCAAAAAACAAAACTATAAAATTTAACAACACCAAAAAACTACAAGAAAATAGAATAATCTTAACATGTTTTATATTTAAGAAATTCTTCTTCCATGTGATAAATGTTTATATACCACCAAACATTTTAAACAGAACTGAATTCTTTAACAACTAAAATATAAACAAGAAAGAGAATATGATTAACATCATTGCAAAGGATCTAAACACAAACATGAACCCAGATATTAACAGAATAAATTAAGCAACTTTTCAAAATAATTTTTTAAAAACACTACTTAATGAAATTACAAAAGAATTTATTAACTTAGTCTCATTTTCTAAATGAAACTCTTTACACATTTCATCAAAACACATATAATAACCATATAATAGCTACTTGGCTAAACTATATCTTTATAAATAAAAACTACAGTTATCTTAAATCAGAAACTAAAACAAAATTTGGAAACTCTGATCATCTCTTAGTTGAATGCACTCTAAACCTAGAACAAAAGCCTAGGCATTCAACACTCTGGAAATTTGATCTAATTTTCTTTAAAAATGATGTTTTAAAAAAAAAATCTTGGATAAAATCAAAGATGCTACTTTTGCAACAAGCTAAAACATGCATAAAATCTATATTAAATTGATTATAAAGGCTTTCAAAAAACCAAAAGCCTCAGAAAACAAAATAAAAAGACTTAACAAGAAAATTAACCAATTAAAAGAAGCTATAGCCAAATTCCCCAACCTGTCACACCTCTTGGTCATACTAGAAGATCTTAACTTACGAGTACAATCAGAATTAACTGAACTAGCACAAAGATGACAACATTAATCAAAAACAAACTAGATAGAACTAAAAGAAAAATTAACTAAATACTTCTATTTACACTTTAAAAGTCAAAGCTTATCCTTAGCTTTTACAAAAATACAAATTCCCTTAGCTCAGGAACAATCTAATGAAAAAGAAGTACTTAACTATATCAAGAAACAATATGCTACAATATATAGCAAAGAAGAAATTGACAATGAAATAGCAAAACAAATTACTAAAGATCTTCTACAAGTTTCTACACAAATAAACAAAAAACTAACAGACCTTATCTCCAAAGAAGAAATCTTAACAACGATCCAAAAACTGCCAAATAACAAGTTTTTAGGACTTGATGGCCTTATATATGAATTCTATGAACTTACAGAAGAACATATTACACCTATTCTAGAACAAATCTTTAGCCAAATATTAATCTCAAGAATAATGCCCTCCTTATGGTACAAAAATCTAGTTATGCTAATACCAAAAAAGTCAAAGAAACTATATAACATAAACAACTGAAAACCTATTTCACTAGTTAATTGCAATGCTAAAATTTTTATAAAAATTATTGTTAACAGACTAAATATAATTTGTGAAACAATTGTACCTCAACATTAATAGAGCTTTATCACAAACAGATTAATCACAAACTTTGTATTAGATATCCTTACAATTTTAAGAAACTAAAAAAATAATACAAAAGAGCACTGGATGCTTTTTGTGGATCAGCAAAAAGCTTTTGACAGAATAAGTCATAAGTTCCTCCAACTGGTACTAGAAAATATAGGCTTTAACAAAGAATTCAAAGACCTAATAAAAAATCTATTTTCTCGACAAGAAGCCCACATCTTAAACTTAGGATATATCTTAAACTCTTTTAGAGTAAAAAGAGGTGTTAGACAAGAAAACCCACTCTCACCTTTTCTATATATGTTAGCATTTGAAGCATTGCTAAATATAATAAACAAAAACATAACAAAAATCAAAGTTAACAACTAATCTTTTAAGTGTACTGCTTATGCAGATGATCTAACAATAGGTATTAGCTTTTACTCAGATTGAACAACAATATTAGAACTATTTGACAACTATGAAAAAGCCTCAAATGCAAAAATTAACAAGCTTAAAACTAACCTAATGCCACTTACAAACACAGCAAGAGAAAAGATTCTCTTAGAAGAAACTTAATTTAAAAAACTAGGAAATCAAGACCATGTTATAGTGTTAGGATATAGTATTACTGCTGATAATATACCAAAAAAAGGTTTATAGCAAAAAGCTATAAGCAACCTTAAACTAAACCTAAAAAAGCTTGCTTATAGAAACCTATTCTTAAAAGAAAAAATTATGTTGGCAAACTCATTGCTTCTTTTAAAGATTTGGTATGTCACTTACCTAATGTCATCAAACAAGAAGCAAATAGCAGAAATTAACAGGCTTATCATTTACTAGATCAAAAACAATTCCAAAATGCTTCTGAGGTATTCTATCTTTTAACAATTATATGAACAAGAAGGCTTACAAGCACCAATAGTTAGCAATATGCTAGAAGCTAGACTAATTTTAGTTTAGATAAAACTAATTTCAAGTAATCTTCTGTAAACAAAAATAGAAAAAAAAAAATCTTCTTCATACTTGATCAAAAAAGAAATATTTCAGTCATAAAAGCACTTTCTACACAACTAATTATAACTAAAGCATGGTCTACGAAATGGAAACCCTACCTCTTAGTATGGAAAAAAACTAAAAAAAAGGTTCTTACAGAATCTAACTGGCTTTGAAATCTTTCAGAACTAGAAATAGATAAGAAAAAAAAACCAGAAATTACAATTAAACTCATTTTAGAATGTTTAAGAAAACTTAATTTCAAGATCACAATCTAATCAGATTCTATAAAACAAACACAAAACAACAACTAAATTTTTTAGAAAGCAATACTTAACAGAAAAAAAAACACCTTTTGGCAACTCTTCTATAAAGTCTTATCTCTAGAATATAGACTTCGTTACTTCATAGCAACAGAATTAGGTGAATGCTTTTGGTGTCTAGAAAATGTACAAACTATAGAACACTTTGCAACAGAATGCAAAATTAGTAAAAAAATTTAGATAGAAGCATACAAATTTCTAAAAACAGGCCAACCTGAATCCATACAAAACTCATTAGAAAAAATATTTCTAAAGAACATTACAGAGAAAACAAAAACTTATAAGACTATCTTATAGTTACATACATACACTATATATAAAATCTGGTGTTGTTACACTACTTTTAAATAGGAAAATATACAATATCCAAAATCAACAATTTTAGCTATAGCAAGAAACAGAATCTCCAAGGAGATCAGTCTATTATATGACAAAAATTTTGTTAAATCTATCTATAGGAAAATTTACAAATATCTAGCTTAGTAAATTTATTAATATGTAAATAATAATTTAGCAGTCATAATTAATAAAAAGAGTACCATATATGCCCCATGATAATATCATCTGGAATAGTTAAAAAAAAAAAATTTATAATTTCAACTTGCTTAAAGAAAAAGCTAACAAATATCATATATTTATTTGTTTTTTTTACTTAGCCTAAATGTTTTTTTCATTTTTTACTAATTAGTAATCCTATCTCTAAACTTTTCTTATTGTTTAAACTTGCACTTGACCAAATGCTTTTGTATTCTTCTAAATTCTTTTCTAGAAAGAAACCTTCTTTGGCTAAAATGTTTGTTTCTGCTAGATCTACTATGTCTAGTTCATTATTGATTATTTATTTATAAAGTGTTTCTATTTTTTGGCTATTTGTTTTAAGCTTATTAATATTATGTACTATCAGATTTAACTTAATTCTTGTATTATTATATATTCTTCTTATTCTTAATAGCTTACTTTCATTGTCTTCTATTTTTTTATTCAAATATAGAGTATTTTTTGATAATGTTTTGGTTCTTTTTTCTTTGTTTTATAATAAGAATCTTGACTCTATATCTGTTGTTATTGTTTAATTTTGGTAACTTTCAAGAGCAGTTTTCAAGACTAGACCTTATTAACTTAAACTTAGCTTTATGTTGTACTTCAAGTTTGTCTAGTTTGCTAATAATTTCTAATAATAAGTTTTTAGTTGATAGCTTTTTTTTTCTTTTTAGTAATTCTTTTTTTTTCTTGCTTAATTCTTGAATTCTTGTTTATATTTTTTGTATTATATTCAAATTCTATTTCTTAACTATTATCATCATCCTTTTTCATCTAGGTTTTTTTGTCTAATAGGTTATTTTCTCTTTTTATTGTTATTCATATTTTGTAATTTTTTCAAAAAATTAAGTAATTATTGTATTATATTGGTTTTAACTATACTAATTTTAAATTCTCTTAATATGCAAAAGTAAAAATTAGAAATCTTTTTGGGTTGCCATTGCTGTTTGTTGACTTGAATATTGATTTTGTTTTTTACTTTTAAGCTTTTTAACAAAAACACTTTAGAAGCTTTTTTGGATACTTCTAAAAGTTTTACTATAAAATGTCTTTGTTTATTTCTTTGCTCATAATTTTCTTTATCTTATGTTATTTATACCAACTTGTTATTATCTAGTAAAAATAATCAAAGAGTTTTCATATAGCATCTGTTTGTTATTTCAATTATTGCTAAAGCTTTATATTGTAATATTTTAATTTTTATAACTTTTGCATTTTCAATACTTCTATATATAAACTTGATTTCTTTATAACTAATATTTGCTAATAGATTTTAAATAGTCAGATGACTTGTATCTTTTATTTTCTTTTTTGGTAAAGTTTGCT